AAATATAGTAAATAAAATAATGATAAATATAATAATAAAGAAAATAAATATCACAACAATAACTGTGATAGCAGTGAAAATGATGATCATGATTTTCCTGGTGATTATTGGTGACATTAGTTAATGTAGTCATCTAGTGATGCAAACAGATTATCACTAATAGTGGCTGACGAAAGACAATGAAAAGAAGTGGTTAAAGTGTGAATCATTGAAAATTTGCACAAAAATCTTGAAGAGAATTACAATGTTTATATGGTGAGAACAACATTGAAAAATTACCTGCTGCCTCGCCAATCTAACTCCATTGCCGCAAAAGCACATCATCATCCAGCATGGGTCACAATAGCTAGAATTTCACATATTGAAATACGGGACCATCCTGATGGTCATTATTGTCTTGCATCTGTTAAATGCGCAAGACAATTTGCCACTGTCTTTACTGAAAATTCTGTCATTATTTTCCAAGATGATAAGGTGAAGATAGGATTTAAAGTACCTGTCGTAGGTCAGACATTTTGCACGTTACAGTCAGTTCATGAGCCTGTTAGTGTGGCCGATCATGATTTCCCTTTAGGAAATAGGCAAAAATTAATTCTATCAGTTTATCTTATAATAAAACCAAATGAATCAAATGATGATTTACGAACGGGACAACTTACCATTTTTGTACGTCATCAATGGTCCCTTGGTACATCTTCACTCACACACATGCAAGACCTCGAAAGCTTTACCCTAGATCCTAAATATAATGATATGTTGAAAAAAATGAAGAAATTCGACCTATTTGGGTGTTATTAGTAGATGGAAGACTGGATGAGAACCCAAGACATTTAAAAACATTAAATCTTATTATCAACTTTTCAAAAATTTGATTTGGATTATCTGACTATACGAACATACGCCTTAGAACAGTTCAAATATAATCCCGTTGAAAGGGAATGGCAATACTGTCTGAAAAATTGGCAGGTGTCATACTACCAATTGATCATTTTGGATCTCACTTAAATTCACAAGGCAAAGTGATTGATCCAAAGTTAACCCTTTGAAACTTTTGATATGCTGGAGAATCACTTTGCAAAATTTGGCGTCGAGATTTGATTTTTGGAAGAAGTGTAAATGCACAGTATATCGAAGAGCTTACTAATCCATTCAAAAATCTAGAGTTTAAAGGCACAGACAAAGAAAAAGTGAAACAAAAAAAACAAAAAAAAAACAAGAAAAAGGAAATGACTCACTGGAATGTTTTATGCCATGGTTATAGATTGAAAATCACTGCAACTTATATTAATATTCTCTTGACATTAAACGTTACATTAATGCAAGCTATTGTAGACCTTTTCATGCAAAAGAAGCCACAGATTTCCTTTTTTTGAATAATGGTTTTTTGCCTTCAGTTACAAAATCTAAAGACAGACATTACACTAATCCTATACATTTTCTTGAATATTACGATTTCTTGAAAATTCTCAGGTACGATTTGCATTGCCCATTTCTTAACCAAATAACCTATTCGCGTCTTTATAGTTCTATGTGTAATAAGTACTTTCCAACTCTTACTTATTTGACAAATCATAAAAGAACTATGCATCCTGCCAGCCGTGAATGACCTAAGGGAAAATCCAAAGAACATAATTCAAGAACCCTTGACAATTTCTCTCTTCTTCCATCATAACAAAAGCGCCCTCTTCTTGACGAAACGAGTTTAAGAGAATACATGTCAGATAAAGAATGATCTATTTTTTTTATGTTATATAATAACTGTAATACAATAAAAGTATAATATAATAATTATAGTTATATATATTATCTAAGCCACCGATATCACGTGATTAATATTAGTATGTATAACCTAAGATTCCCTGCTACCTCCCTATCTCTAAAATATTAGGTAATATATGTCATTGCCTTACGTTGTGTAAAAAATATTAAAGAATAACCTCACAAATTAGAGATTATTATATTTTAATACAGAGTCTCATCAATGGTTTATACCTTCAATTTCAGTTGTATTTATATATTAACTATATTAGAGATACAACATCATATAAATATTTGAGATTTCTTATAAATGTAATAGAGAATATATAGTATATTTAGTCTTTATCAGATTCACAATTTCTTAATAATATAGATAAATGAAATAAAGCATTGTTATTAAATTTTTATTAATTTATATATTTAAATCAAATTTTATAACATAAGCGATGAGGGTGATAAAAAGGTAATAAATATATTAATAAATACTTTTGATGTTTTACTTATAAAATAAAATTCATTTTACCTGAATAGATTTTCATTTGTACTTAAACTTTAAATCACATAAGTAATAAAATTTTATTTGAAATCTGTAAAATTTAATAACTTTAATAAGTAGTTGTTGAATTAAAGAATCTATACTGTGATCTTAAATAAGTATTTTTAAATAAGACATCTATTTGAAATATAAATTGAGTTTTAAATATTAGAATAGTTTTTTCAGCAAATATTAAATATTGAAAAATCAATAATCATATTTTTAATAAAAAGAGCACATACTGATCCTAATATAAAGTCAGCAGAGGATTCTTTTTAAGCAGAAAGAAAAAAGTTTATAATTTATTATATGTTATTCAAATATTTCTATTTTTTATTAGAAATCTTATTAATAAATTATCGTTTATTTAAATATTTTATATTTTATATATTATTAGCATTATAAACTCTATGAATATCAAATTTACTTTGACAAAAATTAAAATTTAAGTATTTTCAGACCTTTTGAATAATTTTACTTAGACTATAAAAGATGATTTACTTAAACTAAAGTGTAAAAATAATGCAAAATATTAAAAAAGTAAATTTGTATATAATTAGTATTATGAACTTTACGAATATCAAACCTATCTTAACAAAAATTGATATTTAACTAATTTTGAACTTGCTGAACAACTTTACTTAAGGTATTTTTATATATTTTATTTAATCAAAGTTTTAAATTTTACCTGAATAAAAAAAGTAAGAGAATTTTTTTTGCAAAAAATACTATCAAAATTTTTTCTATAATCTAAAATGTACAAAATTGTGATAATTAAACAAGCATTTTATATTTGATTTTTTTTGATATGTTTTTTTTTTTTTTTTTTTAAAAAAAAAGATCAGATTGATTACAGTATTTATAAATATATAAAATTTTATAACACAAAAAACAAAAAGATTATTAAACTGAATATCTGAAATATGTGACACAAATAATAATTTTTATGCTAAAGATAATTTTAATAAAATAAAATGGATTAACAAAGATTAGCAAAATCAATAAAAATATATTTTATTTAAAATATGATAGTTAAATTTAACACAATACAAAAGTACCACTAGAAAGCTTAAATCTCATATTTATTCTTATAATAATATAGTAGCATAGCTATAGCTGCAGCTGTAGTTGTAGCTGTAGCTATAGCTTATAAAATAGCTATATAAATTTCAAATATATTCATGAGATACAATACCAAAATCAATCAGAATATATAGAGATTGCTGTAGATCTATACAATCAAAAACAAATTAAGCAAATAAATGCAGAAATGATCATCAAAAATTCATATTATCAAAAGTATACCTATGCCAAATAATATCAAATTTTACCCATTCACACTTTTGTGTCTTCGATGTGATGTAGCTAACAAAGATTTTTATTATATATGGAAGTGCTCTGTAGTTAACTATTAAATAAAATCCATTATCAATCAATCAAAAGAATACCTTAGGTTAATTACCAATGTATTAGATTGAAAAATTGAGCAGCTTAACTATTGGATGCTTTGCTCATATAACTCCTTTATTTTTTGCTCTTATCAAAAGAATCATTTCTGCTCTTTTGTACAACTTCATACACAATAAACTGCTGTTCTATTCTTTAACTTCTGCTACTTGTTCTTCTTTTATGCACTTTATTTTTAAAGTAACCTATACAGTTTGAAAAGAACAATGCTCGATTATCCATGATTTTAAGACTAACTCTAACATCAATCTTCAATTTAAAATAAATTACTTCATTTTTTCAGGTTATACTTTTGATACTATCCCATCTTTCCCTTCTGCTAATAATAATCCAATTGTTTCTATGATGCAATTAAGATTCCACTGGTCAAATTTTTGATGTAGTAATGACCACGCCCTCATTGGTTTTATTTACCGGAAAGTGATAAGTCTTAGCTTAGGTTAAGTTTGATTTTGGGGAGTGCAGGGTCAGTCTTCTTTTTTTAATCCTAGATTAGTATAAACAAGATTTTTGTGATTTTTTCTTGATCTTGTAATTTGTTTATTTTTTATTTTCATCTTATATTTATCATAATAAAGATATTGCGAAACTACCGCACTTTAAAAAAAAAAAAAGCCAAATAATATCAAATTTTATGTTGATCATTTCTAAAATCCAATTTTAGATTTATTTGATTGATGTTACACTTATTTAGGATACCAAAAAATAAAAAATAAAAATAAACGCAAGTGGTAGTAACATATACTAACCAAATCTCATCATTTTATTCATTTTTAGTACCTTCGATCTTGTTGTAGGACGTTTTGGTTTTGTACTTCATCACATTTGCTTAGAATTTCGTTTCAGAATATTTTGAAAAAAATTCCAAAACTAAATTCGAAAAATTCTAACAAATTATCAATATATTGGAACAAAGTTTTTTTGAGTATGTGAAATCTTATTTATCACATAATATTCGTCACCGGCTAGAAATCACGTGGGTAAAATAGTTTGTGACCAATGACATAATTTTGACGAATTACTAATCATATAAGTTTTATTTTCTATTTATATATTGACCAAACGCGATAAAACTTGTATGATCTCGACAAAAATCAAACTAAAGTTGCAAAAAATATAAAAAATATTTAAAACTAAAACGAAGGTATCTTCAGGTAAATTTTTTTTTTATCACATTCTGAACTTATTTTGCATTTCAGAAAGTTAACGTGCTAACGTGTGTCAACTATCTATGTAAACTATGACAACTCACCCACAGAAATTAACATGTCCATCCCGAAATCCTAATCTCGAAGTAGAGTTTAACAAACTAAACTTAAATAAAACACTCAAGGACACATCCGTTAATACAGTATCTTCGGTCGACAAGATGGGTATAGGATCTAAATCTGAAACGGCTGCTGAAAGTACAAGCAATGATAAAGTTGAAGATCAGGAACTTGAAAACTTTGCTGAAAAACTAGATATCAAGCAATTCGCAAAAAATATCGACGAAATAAAGTAATTCTATAGTATGTAATAAATCTGATCCAGCTTTGATCTTAAAAATACAAAATATTGACAATACTCATCTTTGCTAACGTATCCTTTGTTTAGAATTTGCTGGTCCCAATTTTATTTGGCCTTCTACTATGAATGTTTATGCACGTCGTGAAGTTTTCGATTTTATAATTCTCCCCGATTGGGAAGACAGGGGGGAGGAACTCGCTAAAAATACTATTGCGTATCGTGAACTGCTCGATACCAAAGCTTTTGATTCTTCAAAAGGTAGCCATGTATTGATTATCAATGGGAAATTAATCAAGTATGGAGATAATGACCTTTCCTATGATGAATATGATGAACTGCAGAAAGAACATCCCGGAAGCTTTTACGTCCCTATTATTGAAAGATTTGTTATGGTGCGAAAATATTGACGATGTTAATCGCAAAGAATGGCAGGTTTGTGATTCAATTTATTTACATAAAAGGTCATTGACAGATATTGAAATGATATCTGTTAATGCTCTATTGACACCTTTGGGAGTACTTTTGCCAAACATTAGGTGAGTATTTGCCCTTCGAAACTCAGTAAATGCAAGAGATGAAGTTAAAGTGTCAAATGTGGAAAACAACTTCAGAATGATAGCTGAGACAACGATTGCATAGTAGCGTTGAAGGTTGGAAGTGTACAAGGATCACTCAAGTTTCAAGACCTTGGTTGATATGCATTGGCGATGGAACTAACTGGTCCGACTGGGTCAAAACTAAAGAGATTTACTCATGGGCACCCAATTCCCCAGCTGATATCACATGTGGTCTAATCGGTTACGATGTACTAAACAGAATTCCTCATTTCAAACCCTATATGAAACCCTACATATTTTTTAAATAGGATAACGTCTTCGATCAACTACAACAAGTATACGACGAATGAATTATTTTTTCTTCGATGGCTTTATATGTGAAATGAACGAACGCTAATAACAAATCAGTTAGTGAAATTTTATATAGGGATGGATAGTTGTCTATAGCTAGGCTTTAATTTGTATTCGCTTATACATATTGATTATATTATATTAATTGCTATACTCGTGCATATTAATTGTGCAAAAATATATTTTTTATCGTGAATGATTTAATGATTTATAAAATATCTTCTTCCTGCAATCCTTTTCATTTTTTTGTAATATTTTTCTAATTAAAGTCTTTGGATGAATTTTAAAATTTTTTGTTCTTGCAATTTCTAATTAAATTTCTTTTAGGAATGAATTGATTGGTGATATTTACGGTGTAAAAAGTTTGACGGATTTTTTACATGAGTAATGGTCTTTTTTTATATAGGATCCGGTTTAACGATATAGGAGCTTGCCATACACGATCAAAAAACCGCATCATGAAAATCGGGTCGATATTCGCAACGATAAACTGAGGGATTACATTATAAACGTTGGAAATTTGAGAAAGAAATAACCTCATTTCACATGATATCGAGTCCAACTTCTTTGGAAAAGTCAGTCAAATTTGTTATATTATTTAGTCCGTACTCCTAGTTATTATGTTAAAACTTATTACATTTGATTTGACAGCTTTTACATTTTATATCTTTTCTTAAAGTGTAATTTTCTCATCTGTAAAACAGAACCATTTATTATATAACCATAACTTCGTTCTAATTATCGTATATAAGCAACGTTTTAAATTACCCCTCATTATCATCACATTTAATCGTAATATTATAGTAATATTCAAATTCTGAAGAGAACTCTTGGTATTTCACTGGAATAAAAAAAAATTCAAGAATTAAAATAAAATATATAATTTAATCAACACAGAATCATTATATACTCACAAAATTTCTATGACAAATTATTGAATTTATTGTTTGAAGGAGAATCGTAATTATAGTGATTAAACCTATCATTATTATAAAAAATGCATCAAGTTAAACATTATTTTTGTTCAAACATAATAATGAACGAATTAATCTTACCTAATACAAACACTACTTGGAACCATGAATCATGTTGAATAAAGTATTTAAACCTACATAAATGTTCATTTAATAAATTATTTGAACAGTGATTATAGATATTTTCGATGATATAATAAAGTTCGTAAGCATTTCCGATATATATAATGATCATTAAATTATGTGACTCGTCTCTAATCTAGGTAAATAAAATCACAACTTAAATCAATGAAATGAATGATCAAAAATACATATTTTTTTTTCAGAGTAAAACAAATCACATTACCGCTTTAGGAAAGAATGAAACGTATAATTGAAGAATTAAAAACCAAGGAATTAATTCATAAAAAGATATTATTTGATCGTTTCCAAATGTGTAATTGAACCCATAAATTCTTACAACTTTTTTAAACCATATTGAAAATGATATGGTTCCAAAATTTACCGTTTGGGCATGCATAAGAATTAGATTTATTTGATAGGTTTTATACATTCCTATTAAAATATACAGTTAATTAATTTTATATTAATGCAACCATTAACTCTTTAATTCTTACTTTTAATTTGATCTTTTTTTGTGATTTTTTTCAAATCATTTATTACTAGCCAAATCCTTAATCAAAAAAAAATATACAAGGTAAGATTTTAAATTAATCAATTTAAATAAAATTATATAATTGAATAATATACTAACATACCTCCTTTTCCACATAATAATGACTAAGATAATGTAACATATAGTAAATAATGAAAATAAAATAATCCAAGCAACAAGGTAAATAAATAAAAATTCCTTCATATATTTCATTCTTTCATCCTGTACTATAAAATTAAGACAAATGACATTCTTATAACCCAGAATAGTTCTTAAAAAGATTAATACAATTGCACTAATCATAATAATTCTAAGAAAAAAATGTATGATGCCATGTAATATAGATCGTTGTTGTATCTATATAAATAATTTTTTTTAAGTTAAAATGGCAAATATCAGAAATAAAAAATAAAGTCATTTATAGCATACAGTTACAATTCCGGATATCAAATAATAAATTTAAGGAAATGATACAAGCAATATTCTTAAAGTTTGTAGATTACTAACAAAATAGGCGCTTGAAATGACAATTATGAACCATTCGAGGATAAAAGAAAAAATATATAATTTCTCAACAAAAGTGTAATTAGTTAGAAACGCACTACGCCTAAATTTTAGGAAATTCTCCATTTCTTTTTTTTTATTTTTTACAATTTTAAAGAATTGCGTAAATTAGTTAATTTATAATTGAGGAAATTTCATTTAACAATGACGATCATATCATTCAAACTAAACTAAATATGATCCACTAGACATTAAATTTTAGTAATTTTGCAGCCCATTATCCGAAATGGGCATTTCAGATATCCCAAATCGGAATGCTTAATTGGGATATACCAAATGCGAAGAATGCGCTTGCCACAAATGAATCATTTCGGATATCCCAATGACCACTTCAGGATTTATTAAATTTTCTAATTGCATTTTAATTTTATAAATAATCTTTGTATGAAAATATAAAAATATTTTTTTTCTTACAATTAGCATAACAGAGTTTCTTAAATGAACAAAGTTATTTATATAGTAAATTCATATACATATATAATTACGATGTGTCATATTACACCACATGAAGGACACGTCGAAATTTTATCGGAACATTCTTCTATTGCTATTCTACCTTATATACATTATGATCTCTAGGATCTCTTAGTTCCACCAAGTTTTACTAGGAAATACCTTCATGTTACACGAAGTCAAAATATTGGTTTTGTAACCTTTAAAGACAAAAATATCTAATAAAACTTTGGGTCTTTTTTTATCAAAATCCATTCAGAATTCACGTGAGCAAGTTAGAACACGAAAAGATGATAATTACTTTTACAGACTTTTGTGAAATTTCAGGATTGGTGTTGCGAAGTCAATTTCTTATGAAATTGGCTTTGACAATCAGAATCTCATCGGTTAACCAAATATGTAATTCAAAAAAGACTTTTTGCTCTACATTTTATTTAATTATCCAGGTGAGGGTAGCAATAATCCATCAATGTAAAATTTGTTCATTTTTTTTTTTATTTACAATTTAAATAAAGTTTTATAAATATAAGTATTTAAGAATTTGCTTATTTTAAACAAATATTAAATTATGGTTTGTAATTTAATAAACTCAATTTAAATCATTAAAATGATTCATTAAGACAGTCTCAAGCGTGTATTTGGGATATCAGTGCATTTCGGACATTAACGCATTTGGGATATAACAATAAGTAAAATGATGGTATCATTTATCACATGATTAATCTTTGTAATAAAGTAAATATTTTGATAAATTTTATTAACACCTTGCTTTAAATGATAATTGAAATCACACCATGTGTCTCAATTTTGATCTTAAACGAAATTATATAGAAGTTTGTGTTCATATGAAAGTATATATGGCCAAAAGAGATTCGGTACTAGTAGATAAACTTTCCAATGATTTAACCATAGCTAAAATTATTAATAAAATTTCAATTATTTCAACTTCAATTTTGTCTAAAGTATTGAAATCGCATCGTTGTTGCTATAAGACCTTAAATACATTTTTTGAATAGACATTCAATATGACAATATAAAAATCTTGCATCTTTCGATATAAGAAGTTAGTTAAGATTTTATTTGGTTATCTTACTTGAAAATTGACACTATTGATAAACGTTCAAAAGTTAATTATTTAAATAGATCTTTTTTACTGTTTGAATGCACGTTCGAACGTATTTTTATTGAAAATCAAATCTGTTTGGTCGATGTAGTATCTTCGGTAACTTCTCGTTATTCCATTTAAGGTTAGATAGGGTTATTTAGGGTTTTTTTACATAATAAAAGGAGTGTTTGTGCAAAGTTTCAGGTTTATTCCTTGTGTATTCGGCTTCGGCCATCAATTTTATCCGATGATCGGCCGAAATTTCAAATTATCACATATTAAATAATTTTACATATAAAAAATAAAAATTATCTTAAAACAATTTAACTCAAAGTTATGTAACAATATAATGTCACATTTAAAATTATTTAGGCATTTACTTTTATCACATAATTTTTTTAACGAAAAGTAATATGTGATCGGCAAATGATCGGCAAAGTAATATAAAGCATATCCGCTATGCTTTGCTCCTACGGTAGTTCAGATCACCATTTAGTATATATAATAATAAGTATAGAATTTATATATCATAATTTTATTAACAAGAATCAAAATAATATAGAATAATGGAAATATTTCAACGTAGACACAACTCATAATTAGAATTATAAATTGTTATTAATACAAAAAATACTTATTTTTTTTTATTATTATGCCGTTTCTATCAAAATTTATCTAAATCGCGAAAATACACGCATACAATCTTGATAATTAATTGATGATATTAAGTTCTGACATAAACTTTAACCTAACTGAAGGTAACTAACTAGCAATCATGTTAAGTATCGATCATTTGTGTATAATCAAATTTCTTTTCTAAAAGTTAACAAATTTAATTCACACACGTCTGCATATAAAAAAGGTTTAAATGACATGAAATGTCTGCTAGGCAATTTCTATATAACATTCTATTTAATTTATATTTCCTAATTTCTCTACCCATTATACTTCGTTGATTAACTTAACTAACTAACGATCTACTAAAAATGGATAAAACAAAACAAAATAATACGCTAAATTTCTCAGTAATGAAAATATTTAAAAAGTTATTCTCTGAAAAACCGATCCATAACAAACTTCGAAATCATTTTTCATGATACTATCCTGCTTAAAATGCAATTTATTTGAAGACAATTCCTATTTTAGAAAAGCAAATCCATTCAAAGAAAATACATCAGGAAGTGGTAACCAACTATTATACCCACTTATTGAACTCAAATTCACCATTATGTCGCTTATCTATCGAAA